GTGTGCACAGGTCACCTTGGGAAGCTGCGGGTCTTCCAGCTGGGCTGCTGCTGCCTCTGGGAACCGGCCAGGCGGCGGGGCCTCGCTCCCGGGCTGGGATAGGATGGGGAAGGGTGAAGCGGTGCCAGTGGTGTGAACGTTAACCTGCCGGAGGCCGCCCGCCTGCGCCCTGCGGCCCAGCCGCGGGAGTATCGGCACACAGGGCGCCATGGCCACGGCGAACGACAGGGCCGTCCTGCAGACCATCTTTAACCCCAGCACCCCTTTTGGGGATATCCCTGGGCTGGACGAGGAGGAGGAGGAGGACGCCCAGGAGGAAGGTGAGGCGATGCTGCCTCGGGTTCTTGCCGGAAACTGGCAGCGGGGTCCCTGCGCTGCCACGGAGCGGGTGGGCAGGGGAGGGAGGCTCAGCTGGCTGGGAGCAGCCCCTGCGGTGCCCTGCTGGTGCCTGTTCCTGCCCCGGGAGAGGGGGGTGCAGGGTGGGCGCTGGGTCTGCTCCTCCCGGGGTGTCCTGGTGCCGGCCGCTTCCCCGGCCACGGGCTCCCCTTTGCGCCACCGCAGGGGAAGCCTCTGTGCCGGAGCTGCTGGAGCAGGTCCGGGACCTAGAGCTGCAGGGGGTTTCTGCCGCCGAGTCGGGAGACGTGAGCACAGCCCTGGAGAGGTTCAGCGAGGCCATCCGCCTGCTGCCCGAGCGCGCCTCCGGCTACAACAACCGGGCCCAGGCCCTGCGGCTCCAGGGGGACGTGGCAGGTGAGCAGTGCTGGTGCGGCCGGGTCGCAGGCAGCCCCCCGGTACCCCCAGCCCACCCCGACGCCTTTCCTCCCCCTGGCCAGGCGCCCTGCAGGACCTGGACGCAGCCATCCGCCTGAGCCGGGGCTGCGGCCGTGCCGCCTGCCAGAGCTTCGTGCAGCGCGGCCTGATCCACCGGCTGCAAGCTCGCGAGGATGACGCCCGGCGGGACTTCGAGCGAGCGGCACGGCTAGGCAGTGCCTTCGCCCGGCAGCAGCTGGTGCTGCTGAACCCCTACTCGGCACTCTGCAACCAGATGCTCTGCGAGATGCTGGGGCGGCTGCGCAACCCCCGTGGCACTGGGAGCGAGTGAGAGGGGCAGGAGACGGGCGAGGCAGCGCGTGGGCCAGGCAGAGCCGTGCTCCTGGGGTGGCCCAGGCGGGCACCTCCTGGCCGCCAGAAAAGGTCCATCTCTGGTGCCAGAGATCCTGTTCCTCCTCCTCCTTGGCTGACAGCCAGGGACGGGAAGTACCGAAGTGCCTTGCTTTGTCTCGGCTCTGCTCCACCCTCAATAAACCTCCCTGTGTCCCTGACACTTGGGCTCTGCTTGCAGCGTTCCGGGCGGTCGTGGCGTTATTCCCGTACATGCACAGCCCTGCTGAGATGGGCGGCCCCATGGGTGCAAGGCTGGGCCGAGCAGGGGGCCGAGTCCCTCTCCGTTGAAGAGGGGAGATGGGGGGCACGGGGACGTTCGTCCTCTGCTCTGGCTGGGTGGTCTCTGGCCACCCTCATGTGCGCCAGAGCCGTGCTCGGGGCCTCCAGGCGGCAGGACTGACCCCGCTGCTGCAGCGGCTGTGTGCAGCACCAAGCCCCGCTCGGGGAAGGCGGCTGCGGGGGCCTAGCGAGAGGGATGCTCACAGCCGTGCTGGGGACCGCCCCTGCGCTGCATGCAGAGCCCTGCGTGCCAGGGCTCAGGCGCAGAGCCGCACTGCAGGCTAGGCTGGACGGGGCAGCGGCAATGCTCCAGGTAAGGTGCAGCCTGGCCGCATCCTCTAGCTGTGTGCCGGGATGCCGGGGGCCCAGTGCGGGGCCGGCCCCGTGGCCCTGCTCCAGCTGCCTCTCTCCTAGCGCTGAGCGCGGCTGGCGTGCGATGGGGCATCCCAGGGGCTGGCCGGGGGCTGCCCTCGCCTGCCTGCTGCTGCTGCTCATCCTCTAGCTGTGTGCCGGGATGCCGGGGGCCCAGTGCGGGGCCGGCCCCGTGGCCCTGCTCCAGCTGCCTCTCTCCTCGCGCTGAGCGCGGCTGGCGTGCGATGGGGCATCCCAGGGGCTGGCCGGGGGCTGCCCTCGCCTGCCTGCTGCTGCTGCTTGGTGTCCCGGTGCTCTGCTCGGCAGGGGAGGCGGGGGT